AATATTGATACAAACAGCTTCGTCTTCAACCTTCTCAAGAGTATCTTCAATTGCTTCTTATCACAAAAAGTGGCAAGCAGTTCGGCACTTGAGCTTCCAGCAACACCCTTGTTGCAAAAAATCTCAAAAGCTTCCTTAAGAGCCTTGTGGAATAGAGTATGATTTTGGAAACAGTCGTTCACATATGCCAGGTACTTGTCATGCAGCTCAATCACTTTTCGAACAAAAACCTGCTCTTGTAAGCCAACAATATCTCTTTTCTCTGCCTTCCTGTTACTTGCTGCATCTTCAGCCAACTTCACCAATGCTGTACCTTCTTCGGTAACATGCTGCTTGAATATACAGGAAACAGGCTCCAAGCCTCGGAGTATTTTAGAAAAGAGTCTGAACATCCTTGACAAGTCTTCAACCTTGTCATCTGTAAGTAATGAATGACATCCAGAATGCTCTTTTTCAAGAAGTTGGTATGCATACACAGATAAAAGCTCATGTTGAACTTTCTCTAATAACTTTGACTCACTACTAGAGTGTAGGTAATGAGCAACCCTATCTTTCTCCCGTTTCAAGCACTCCTCCGCCTTTGAGCATATAATCAGGACAAGAATCTTCTAGGATCCAGTTTGAAGCCTTTCGAGAATAATATGCAGAAGTGTCTTTGAGCATGGCAGCTTCAAAATCATTGTCATATTGATCCTTTGCCCTATTCCAATTTCAACAAATATATCTAAGACATTTTTTAATAGAGCTCGATCAATCTGCTCTCCTTCACGTCCCTTGCCTGACGATTCTGAGGGGCCAGACTCACTACCAGGTGGTGTAGGTCCTGCTTGGCCTGGAGCTCCAGGTTGGTTATATAGAGACTGACCAAGCTGCATAACTTCCTGGTTGAGGGCAGCCAAGGCATCTTTAATAGTTTGAGTTGAACCACCGGTAATAGCTTCTTTAAGTTCTCCCAATTTAGCTTCCACCTTCTCTTTAACAGGGGCAGGAACCTTCTCTCCCAACTCTTTCAATTGCTTCTCAGTCTGATAGACAACAGAGTCCGCCTGGTTCTTGGTGTCTATTGCTTCCCTCTTTTCTTTGTCCTCTTTTGAAAATCTCTCTGCCTCGCTGACCATTCTCTCAACCTCATCACCAGGCAAAGTGCTGGCACCAGTAATGGTAATATCTTGTTTCTTCCCTGTGCCCTTGTCTATGGCGGCAACCGATAGAATACCATTTGCATCAATGTCAAATTTCACCTCAATTTGAGGAACCCCGCGAGGAGCGGGAGGGATACCGTCCAAGCGGAAGCTACCAAGAGATTTGTTGTCCCTTACAAATTCTCTCTCACCCTGAAGGACATTGATTTCTACACTTGTCTGCCCATCAGCAGCAGTAGAGAAAACCTCTGATTTTGAGGTGGGAAGGGTAGTGTTTCTTGGAATAATCTTGGTCATCACACCACCAAGAGTTTCCAAACCCAATGACAGTGGAGAAACATCCAACAGCACAATGTCACTGACATCTCCAGCCAAGACACCAGCCTGAACAGCAGCTCCAAGGGCAACCACTTCATCTGGATTAACAGTGACATTTGGGTCCTTCCCAATCAGCTTCTTTACAAGCTCCTGAACAGCAGGAATACGTGTTGATCCACCAACAAGAATCACCTCGTCAATATCTTTAATTGAGAGCTTTGCATCTCTCAATGAATTTTCCACTGGTGTTCTAAGTCTGTCAAGAAGATCTGAACACAATTCTTCAAATTTAGCCCTTGTAAGAGTCGTCTCAATATGTTTGGGGCCATCTGCTGTGGCAGTTATGAATGGCAAACTGATGTTTGTTTGAGTCAATGATGAAAGCTCCATTTTTGCCTTCTCAGCTGTCTCAGTAAGACGCTGAAGAGCTTGTTTGTCTTTCAAAAGGTCTATACCTTCATCTCTCTTGAAGTCACCGGCCAGCCAATCAACAACTCTCTTATCAAAATCATCACCACCCAAGTGTGTATTACCAGAAGTAGACAGCACCTCAAACACTCCGTCGCCAACCTCAAGCACTGAGACATCAAAAGTACCACCTCCAAGGTCAAATACCAAAATAGTTTCATTGTTTTTCCTTTCAAAACCATAAGCCAAGGATGCAGTAGTTGGTTCATTGATAATTCTAAGAACTTCAAGACCAGCTATCCTTCCAGCATCCTTTGTAGCAGTTCTTTGTGAATCATTGAAGTACGCAGGCACAGTAACCACAGCCTTAGTTACTTTATCATTCAAAAACTTTGAAGCATCATCATCAAGCTTCCTCAAAACCTGAGCGGAAATTTCTTCAGCTGCAAAAGATTTACCAATAGCAGGACAATCAAGTTTAACGTTGCCGTTATCGTCTCTGATAACTTTGTAAGAAACCTGCTTTGACTCTTCATCAACTTCAGACATCTTCCTTCCAATAAACCTCTTGACGGAGAAAAACGTGTTCTCGGGATTCACAACCGCCTGAAGTTCAACGATAACCTCCATTTCCGGAACAGATAATGCACGTTGCATTGAAGAAGCTCTGGAGAAAGAAGTGATGGGTTCTTCCATATCATTCTTATATTTCAAAATAGAAACCCTGCCATCCTTGATATGCATAACTTCACCATCTTCAATAACTAGCACTTTCTTGGTATGCTCAACCACCGCATTGGCGTCACTGGACAAAAGCAATTCCTTGGGCTTTTCCATCTTTTGATAGGAATTTATTTTCCTCATAGGTGGAGCCATCCTCCTTATTTTGTGCCAATTCTTTAACACCTAGGAGCAGCAGGCTACCACGCTTGCAAGCAATCAATTCATTAGGATAATATGAACTTTTGGAGATAAGTGCATAGGTTCCTTCAAGAGAAATGTTATGCACTCTCATGTATCTATCCTTCAATCATGCTTTAAGTTCACTTGGAAATGGCGCAATTGAATGAACACTTTGTACTTGCATCTTAATTAAGACATCTTGATTGAACATCCACCAAACTTGACTTGTACAGGCAAAACTCTGAATTTTTGATTAAAGTTGGGCAAAACTTCTCATAGAACATTGTTTGAAAGCTTGATGAATTCCGATACAGGACAACCTGATCGTAAACAATCACATTTCCTGAGAAAATAACCCACTGCCACAACCAATTTACACTTAAAGAAATCTCTTGATAGTTTGACCAAGATGAGGTCAAACATCCATCTGATTTAAACTTGAATGAATGTCTTTGCCATCAATCTCCCTGCAAAACCCTAAACACACAGAGAAGAAGAAACAAAAAATATTTTTGGTATTTTGATTAGATGTTAGTAAACAGAAACAAACATAAAGTAAATAAGAAACACAAAATAAGATCTTGTTTGTGGAATGATATGCAAATGAAATGTGGGATCTTAGGGGTAAAAATTAGGGTATTACACCATACAATTACCAAACCCAACAATAACGTCAACCACCGAAACCTAACGACCAACCTCACAATGTCACCATACCATATACACCAACCACTAAACACTCAACCTCGCAACCAATATATGCCACACACCCAAATACAAAACTAAGAGCATGACCCATACCACCAACAACCATATGTCCCACGAAATCTGTCTATAGCCCCGATAATTCATACGATTCCACCCCATCCTACCATAGCCCCCTCATCAATGTACACCCAAACATCACACTGCCAAAGCACCCAACCGCCACATGACTTCCTTACAACATAAGAACCATTGCTATGTTTCCAAAACAATTCAATTACCCAATTCAACCAACCATACAGTCCACACATAACCCAACCACAACAACCCAACTACGACAACATGGACACCAAATTCGATTACGGCAGCGCCGTTGGTGGCACCCCCGACTACTTGAGAGAAATGATTAAAAATATGTTAAATACACCAGGACCCTCACACAAACCATGTTTTCCTCAGGCCAATACTTAAAGATCTCAAACACCTCAGAGAAATCGTGGGAGACCTCGAAGGCAGGTAAATGCGCCAAGATGTGGAACCAAGAGACGTTACGATTAGACGAGTCATTGATTTTCTATTTAATCGTTGTGTAATTAAATTTTATGAATTAATATTATAAATTATTTTTAATTTTCTTTTTTATTTCAATTTTTTAAATTAAAATAAAAAAAACCTTAAATAAAGTAGCAACCACGATCAAACACATGCTCTTAGAGGATGTAGCATGCGCCACTTGAAGTGATATTATGTATATGCGAGCGCCACTATAAATGACATCTATGTATATTTCATCAATACATGCATCACTTTAAGTGACTACTCTTCTTCCATAAGTTTTTTTTTGTTTGAAATATGACTAGTTTGATAAATTTTTAAATATTGATTATTGGTATATTATTTAAAAAAGTTGGTTATTTTAAAAAAAACTCAAATTTTTTATTATGTAAAAAGAATTTGATAGTTAGGTTAGATTAAAAGAAAATAGGGATAAAGTAAGTTTTTATTAGGTTAGATTAAAAGAAAATAGAGATAAAGTAAGTTTTTATTAGGTTAGATTAGATCCGAAAAAAAAAAATACTAGAAAATATTCAATGTCAATGGAATAGACATGCTCGAACGCATCGAAATTGAAAATCCATACCAAAAGTAGACGAAAGGGAAAACGTAAAAGTAACCTCAGTCAGTCTCAGTGCGCAGTGATGCAGTAAGAGAGAAGTCCATCATCTCATCTGTCGTTCGCAACTTCGCGGTGCGCTGCTACCGTGGACTGTCTTTTCTTTTCTTACTTCATCTCTCTCTCACCCAATTGTATTGTTGTGTCACTCTTTCGCTTTTTCCATTACTGCTTCATTCACTATCACACTCTACTTCTTTTTACTCCTTTTCCCCCTTTCCTAAACCTCTATTATTTCCTTAAATTCATTTACAATCCAATTCCGATTCTGTTAATGCATTTTCTCCTTAAGCGCGATCCTTCTATACCACACCTCTTCAATCGTTAGGGTTTCCTTCAAATCAATTCCCATGGCAATCAGAGGCGTTGATTTCAAGTGGTTAGTGTTTTCTTCTCATACATTCACTGATTCCTTACTATTTTCTCTCTTATCCCGATTTTGATCAAATGCATCTTTCTCCTTTTAGGTACGATGGGTTTTTCTTGTCCATGCTCGCCACCAGCGTGTATCCTTTTTCAATTCATCTTCTCGACATGATTTTTTCTTGTTAGTTTTACCATCATTACGTATTTTCAATTGTGCATGTTTTCTTGACACTTGAACTTGTAGAGTTATTGTTGCAATTAATTGGAAGCGCTACCATTCTTGTACATACCCATTGCACATATGGATTGTGGTGTGTTCCTTGACTCTTCTCCTATTAATTACTTATTAAGATCCTTGCGTTTTTTTTATCTTCTTTATTTTACTGACTCACTGTTCTTCAGGTTGACTACACTGCTGTGTTTGTTTTCCGGCTCTTGATGTTTGTTGATAATGGCTTTGCTGCGGGAATGGGTTTGTAAGCTCTTCTATTCATTAACTTTTTATGTTATTCTTAGTTATTTCATTACTATATTTAGCTTGTTTTCTTCATTTTGTATTGTATGTATGATTTAATGTAGGTAATTTAGAGTATGGTAGATGATATATTGTCTTTCACTGTTCTGATGTGTTTGTTTAATACATCTAGTTGAAGAGATAAGTCATATATCAATGTGCAATAAGTAATAACCCTGCACTTTATATCTAAGATTCCTGTACTCTACCCACATGATACCTGTTTATATAAAATATTGACATCTCTACCCACAATGATACCTGTTTATATAAAATATTGACATTGTTGATGGGATCAATCCATATGCCATTAGTTTTTTTTTTTTTTTACTTTGTTGACATGCATTAGATGTGATAATTTTAACATAGGCAATATTTGCTGAGCCCATTTAGTCAATTTCCTGGAATACAATTGAATCAGTGTTTGGAATGTGGCAAGTCACACGGCTTAAGGTTAAAAGTTAAAATAGTAATCAGGAAGAGGCATACAAGTTAGTGGAGATAAATGGAAGCCTATGGTTTTATAAAAAGATAGTTTTCATATATAGATTTTGGAAAGTGAATTTTCTATGATATATTTCATGTAATTTCTCTTGGCTGTTCAGCATTCACTTGCAAAATAATTTTGCTTGCATAGATGACTTCGATTTGATGATAGTAAGCTCATTCTCAACTAAATTGGTTCTGAATTTTTTGTGTTGCATCAAACAAACCAAGTTAAATGGTGTTTTAATTTCTCAAATCCCAGAACTAATTCCTCTGCACATTGTTCCCCCTTCCCTTCTCATATGCTTCTAGAGATTTTGGGTGGCAGCAGAGATACGCCCGTTTCTGTGGAAGAGTAGCCGTCCTCTCAATCCTTGGATTGCTTCTTTATCCATTTCTTTGGGCTTGGACTATAGTTGGTACCATGTGGTTCAGGAGTGCCAAGAGCTGTGTATGTTATTCATTTAAATTAAGTCTTAGTTATACTCTTGTTAACATGTTTATGTGGCATAATGCAAATAATCATCTGCAGTTGCCTGAAGAGGGTCAGAAATGGGGATTTCTCATCTGGTTACTTTTTAGCTACTGTGGACTTCTTTGCATTGCTTGCATGTCAGTGGGAAAGGTTAGTGGTGGAGCTGTGTTAATCATTAAATGTTTCTTTGACTTGTTAGCATGTCACAATCTTTTTTAACTCCATTTGCTGTGGTGTTCATGTTCTGAACAACTTATATACATGGAATATCTGCAAAACAATATTTATCTTCATTATTTGATACCTAGGTTGTTGCAGTAATCATTTTGACTTGTTTAACCCCTTGCAGTGGTTGACTAGACGACAAGCACACTTAGTGCGTGCCCAACAGGGTATCCCAGTGTCTGAATATGGGGTAAGATTTGCCTTCATTGCAACGTATTTAGCAGTTTTAGTTACATATGTTGTGGAAACTATCTTAATATCGGTATTTCTAAATAATTTTCGTAATATCATGGAAATTCTTTCAGAATTGTCCATCCTTGTTGTTCCCTTATAAAGGACAGGGCAGGGAGTAGGACAGGATTTTAAGTTCTATCTTGAGTCTATAACTGGTACAGTCATTCATTTGTTAACATCTGTAATAAACTTGTAATCAGACGACATGTTATTGACACTTGCTTATTAGTTAGTGCCACCCTATGTGATGAGCGATAATACACTATTAGAATATGAGTGACAAGTCTATGTTGCTTTGTTTTAATTTTAGTCTTGTTTTGAGATTGTTAACCATGTCATAGTTTCCATTTATGAAATTCAACTTATCTAGCAACTGTGTACCCAGCAAACTGTTCTGTTGCTTAGTAATGTGGTAAATTATTATGCTTAATTCAAATTTTCCTGATTATAAAATGATTACTTATTTTCTTTCACCGTCAGTTTTATGGCTGGTTTTTCTGTTAGTTCTTCTATAACAAGGTTCTAGGGTGTGGTTATAAGGTTCTAGGGTGTGGTTATAAGGTTCTAGGGTGTGGCTAGCTCTTCTAAAATGATTACTTATTCTGGTTTTTCTTTCACAGTCCCTTGTGTATCATGTGTGGTTATAAGTTTCTCCACGCCTTCCCTTAATCTTTATTTTTCACCTCTTGAAAAAAGTTATCGTTGAATCAGATTCCCAGAAAGTTACTGAGAAAATGTTGTTTCGAAGCTTGTACAGTTGGATTCTTTCTGGAGGCAACACAATCAGTCTATTGCTTTCTCTTATTTAAAAGATTGTACATATGGGGTTGGTTAATTCATTGAAGTGTAATCTGTGATCATATTCTTAGAAATGTAAATGTGTATTCATTTCTATTTGATCATCCATACTACATCTATTTGATGCTAATAGTTGTTATTTTTGCTTTTTAGGTTTTGGTCGATATGATCCGCGTGCCTGATTGGGCATTTGAAGCCGCGGGTCAAGAGACAAGGGGCATGGGCCAAGATGCTGCTGCATATCATCCAGGACTTTACCTAACACCAGCCCAGGTAGTTTTAGTTGATCTTTGCAGACCTTTTGCTTTCATATTACAACTCATGCAAAGCTACAGAGTACAGTATTGTTAAGCAGAGTGAGCTGTATTGTCATGTAGATTAGTTGATGAAATATTGTCTAAGTTCTGATAGAATACAGAGTCCCCGAACATGTGATGACCCAATTTTTGGGACCAATTCAAACAAGCACAGCTTCTAGAAGCTGTAAGAATAGAAGTAGTTAAAATATTTTTCATAATTTTAGGCTCTGTTTGGAAGTTTGGCAAGGAGGGGAGTAGAGGGAAAAATAGATAAATCTTTCACCTTTTTTAAAAGTGTTTTGTATAGAATAAAATGACAAATAAATATTTAAAGTATTATAACAAGTAACAATATAGATTGGATTCGGAAAATTTATCCAAGCCCTCCAAAATCCTGCTCCAATATAATTGAAGTTTCCTATGATTAAGGGGTTTTTGTATTATGAAGAAAAACAATCCTTCAAAAACCCTCCTCTCCTAAAATTCTTCATTCTTTCCACTTCATTCTTCCTTTTCTTCAAAGCCCTTCTCTCCCTTTCCCACCTGAACTCCTAACCAAAGCCGGGAACCTTTCTGTTATAGAAGAGGGAAGGGTACCGAGCAACTCATTCAGAAAGTTAAGAGCCTTTTACGAGGGATTTTCTCTGGGTTAGGAGTTTAACAACTCTGGTTTTATTCCTATGTTTTCTGTTTTCCACCATTATTGGAGCATTACGGTCAATAATTTGCAGTAAATAATAGTGTTTGGCTTAATTTTCTGAGTTCTATAAAGTCTGCTATTATTCATATGGTTCTTGTGTGTTTTCAGACAGTGGGTTGGCTATAGTTATACCATATATTTATCGTTCAAATACTTTTTGAGTATTTATACAAAGAGTTCTATACTACCATGGAGTTTTGTTGAGTATAGCCAAAACAATTCAAAATTTAGAACTAAAATAATTAAATTAAAAAGTGACATGACATTAAATAATTGGATGATTTGGTAGGTACTCAACAAACTAAAAGGTTCCGGAGTGTTCACTTATTAATATTCAATTTCAGTGCTGATACTAAGGTTTCTTATCTGGGTTGGATGCAGAGAGAAGCAGTTGAAGCATTAATTCAGGAACTCCCGAAGTTCATGTTAAAGGCTGTTCCTACTGATTGCAGTGAATGCCCCATCTGCTTAGAAGAGTTCCGTGTTGGGAATGAGGTATATTTATTCCAAATCTAATTATAGGTCTAGAGCAGGTCATACTATGTGCTGTTTCCTATCTGATACTGTAAAAACATGCTGTCTAACCTTGAGAACAATTTAAGTTGAGATGTAATGTGGATTGTAGAGTGATTTAAAAATAGTTTTACTCTATGATGCAGGTTCGTGGCTTGCCTTGTGCGCACAATTTTCACGTTGAATGCATTGACGAGTGGCTCAGGCTGAATGTGAAATGTCCTCGGTGCCGTTGCTCAGTGTTCCCAAATCTTGATCTTAGTGCCCTGTCCAATCTCCGTCCAGATTCTGAACGATCTTCTGCCAGTGTTGTGACAACAACTAGCTATGTGAGAGGCCAGCCATCCAGTCAAAGTTACCTGTTAAGGTTACAGGGACTTCTCCGCCCAGTGCGTGCTGAAATTGCAGGGCCAGTTGGTGACACAGATAATGCTTTGCAAAATGCTGAGAATGGTGTTGTTGTACCTATTGTGACCCAAAATGCACCAAACAGAGTCCAAGTCTCTTCTGTGGAATGCATGCCTGTTAGTCATTCCTCTGCACAAACTTAGGTTATGTGGTTTCGGAGTTTCGATATATTTCTAACTCATTCTAGAGGTGAAAGAGTGCATATCCACATCTGGGCTGTATAAAAATGGTTCACATTCTAACATGAAATTCTTACATTGATCCATGAAGAAATGGGTCAGTTTCTTTGTCTGGGACATCTTGGAGTGGCGTAGTAGGACTTGAAAATCAAAGTATACCTTTTTGCTTGACTAACCTAGATTAGAACTGAAGATGTGTAATTGTTTCTTATGTTTTGATAGTGTAAAAAGAGTTCAAATTTATATTCATAGGAGTACTGTTTTAGTTCTGCCTGTTTCATTTTTTTGGGCGTAAGCGTAATAGTTTTTTTTTTGGAAGAGGGTGATATAGACGGAGTTGACCTTAATCATTGGACATCACATTCAAAAATTAGATATTAAAAAATCTCTTTACTGTAGTTGACTTAAATCTGCAAAAAATTCTTTGCAAATAGATTCATTTTGATTCTAGTTGTAAAAAAAACATTCAATTTAACTCTGATTCCACGACATTTTTATACTGTTGCCTTATTAGAATTTTTCGCATAGGTGGATGTGATTTGATGACCTGGCTATGACAAGTTATTGGCTGAGTCACAAAACTATAATATTAATCAATTTTATAAAAGGTTAAATAACTTCTCTAAATATTGCAGATTTTGTTTTTGGTCTCTTCAAAATTTTTCTTTAAGAAAGTGCCTTTTAAAAATTTTCCTTTTCAACAATCGATTTCTAACGTCAAATATAAGTGCTTTTTTAAAATTTTCCTTTTGAACAAATGATTTCTAACGTCAAATATAACTAACGGTTGTTTATGTGGCAAATCAGATAGATTAAATAATTAAATTTTTTTACTGAGATGAATTTTATTTATTTACGTGGCATGCAGGTGTAAAATTACAGGGCTCTTCTTGATAAAGAAACGCTAATTAGAATGAAATCTCTAATTCATTTCACTTTCACTCTATTCCCTTTTGAAGACACTTGAAGACTCACTGACGAAGCTTGTGGTCCCTCTCTCCAAAACTCCATTTATATTTCATAACTTATGGTCCCAACATTGACGAAACTTGCATTGGTTGCTTATGGTCTCAACATTAAAGTTAGTTCCACACGTGCTTTTGAATATTGTATGTATGTATGTTTTGTGTCCCACTTGCTATTGTTTATTGCTTTCGAATATTGCATGTATGTTCTGTGTCCCACTTGTTTTGAAAATCATACATGTTTAAGTACTTGCTGTGTTGACTATAAATATCTAGGGTTTTTGTTTTGATTATATTAGTGTTTTAAAAATCGGACCGGACCAGCCGGTCGGACCGGTTAGACCGGGAACCGGCCTAGTAACCGGTCTGTTTTACTAGTTCGATCGTCTGTGTCATCAAACCGGTAAAAACCGGAAAAAACCGGGTTGGGCCGAAAAAACCGAGTTTAGGATTGGACTGGTTCTAATGCATTTTTTATTTTTTAATTAAAATTTAAATACAAAAGTTATAAAAATTAAAAAAAAAAGTTTAAAATTAGATTATACTGCAATTATTTTGTAATTTTGTATTATTTTGTTATGTGTAATACATTTGTTTAAAATTTAAATTTAAATTATGAAATTGTGAATTTATGATATGATATTTTTAAAAATTTAAGTACTAGTTATATTTTTTTAGAAACTGAATCATCCGGTTCGACCGGTTTTATATCTCTATAATGACAGGTCTATTCAACCGAGTTATCCGGTTTAATCCGATTTAGTCATGCGGTTCGACCAGTGACCCAGTGGTTCAACCGATAAACCAGTGACCCAGTATCCTCACCGGTTCAATGACCGGTCCGGTTTTTAAAACACTGGATTATAAAGATAATGTTTGATTTACCCTTGTTTATTTTTGTAATGTACATGATATGAGGTTATTAAAGTTGTATTTTATATCAAAGGGTTATTTTTGTAAAGGATTTAAGGTTAAGATATGAAGGGGGGATGTTTATGCTATAAGTGGGCAAGACTCTGATTTTTTTGTCATACTTTGAAGCCTGTGACTTAATTAAGGCGATTGACTCTTCCTTTAACATTGATGATATGAAAATGTGGTGGAAGGTTGAACATGGTTTTGAAAATGATTTGAAACCCTTTGTTAATGATGAGGATGCAAGAATGTTAGCTTTGTATGCTGAGAAGAGTAAGTGTGATGTTGAGATATATACAGAGCCAATATTATCAAGTGGCGAGAAGACTTATATAAAGAGGTTAATAGAGAAACAAAAAGGGCATGAATATGTTAAGGAAAATGAGGGTACTGAGGACAGTGAATCATTTGAAGACTCTTTGGATGATATACACTTTGAAGATAGTGAAGAAGAGAGAATGCACGATTTTGATGAAGACATAGGTGAAAGGTTAAACATTAGAGTGTATAATGGTGAGTCTAGAAGCGAGCCTGTTGATGGTGCTGGTACAGGTTAAGGGAAAAATAAAGGTTTTACTACAGTTGAGATTAATAGGGAACATATCATAGAAGATGATTACATGACTGATGAGTTTGATAGTGAGGCAGATGATGATAACACTAATGATAGGCCTGCAGTGATAAGGTTTAATGAATATGAAAATTTTAGAAAACATTTCTTATTTAAGGTGGGAATGAAATTTTCATCTTTGAAGCAATTTAAGAAGGTTGTACTGGAACACAGTGTGTTGAATGGTAAGGAGGTAAGGTTTGCCAAAAATGATGAGAATATGTGTAGGGTTGTTTGTAAAGACAAACAAAAATGTGACTACACTGTGCTATACAACAGAGTTTTGAGAACTACATCATTTAGGATCAAAACTCTGTTTCAAAAGCACAAATGTGGAAGAAAGTTCTTTAATAAGAATGCTAATGCTGATTGGGTATCTAGAGTGATTGCTGATAAGTTGAAGAACAATTCAGGTATGAAATTGAATGAAGTTGTAGCAGATGTAAGACTGAGGTTCGCTACATAAATCATTGGATGTAAGGCTTTCAAAGCAAGGCAGTTAGCTAAGAAGGTTGTTGAGGGAGACTCAACCAAGCAATATAGTATGCTATGGTCATATGGAGCTGAATTGAGGAGGACATCAAAAGGAAACACATTCAAGTTAAACATCTCTGGCTTGCCACCAAGGTTTGAAAGGTGTTACATGTGTTTCGATGGTACAGAGAAAACATTGAAGGTTGGATGTAGACCATTCATAGGGTTAGATGGATGTCACCTAAAAAACAAATATGGTAGAATCTTGTTGATTGCTATTGGTAGGGATGCCGATAATCAGTATCTGCCACTTGCCTTTGGGGTTGTAGAGAATGAAACTAGGGACTCTTGGAACTGGTTTGTTAGGTTACTTCTTGAGGACATTGGTTGTGATAGTATGTGGTACTTCATGTCTGATCGACAAAAGGTATGTGTAATGGTCCATTTTCAAGTATGTGTAATGTTACTTCTTGATGACATTGTTGTGACATTTATGCTATTTTGTGTACAAGTATTGGTGCAGGTATTTGAGGAAGATTATCCTGAGTTTGAACACAGGTTTTGCCTAAGGCATTTATATGCTAACTTCAAGAAGAAGTTTGGAGGTGATACATTGTACAAAGATCTCATTATGGTTGCAGCAAATGCAACCTTTTTTTGAAGCACATGAGGATAAGATGAACCAGATTAAGGAGGTGAGTTTATATGCTTTTGAATGGCTAAATGCTATACCCAAACATAAGTGTTGTAAGCATGCATTTCCCTTTTACTCTAAGTGTGATGTTTTAATGAACAATCTTAATGAATCATTAAATGCAACTATTTTGATGTAGAGGGATAAACATATTATTAGCATGTTTGAGTGGATTAGGAAGTATCTTATGGGTAGGTTTACCACTCTTAGGGAGAAGTTAGAGAATTACAAAGGGGAGATCATGTCTAAACCACTTAGGATGTTAGATAGAGAGATATAAAAAAATGCAAATTGGTTGCCAACATATGCAGGTAGATTAACATTGCAAGTAACGCATGTCATGTTCACAGATAACTTTGTTGTAGACTTGGCAAACCATACTTGTTTTTATAACTATTGGGACTTGGTTGAGATCCCATGTAGACATGTTGTTGCATCCATACATAGGAAGGTTGATGATCCCATTAAGTATGTACACAAGTGTTATCATAAGACTACTTATGTATCATGTTACAATGAAGTTATCACTTCCATAAATGGCCAAAACAAATGGCCAAGGACTGCTGATCTTGAAATATTGCCACCAAGTTTCAAGAGAGGTCCAGGGAGACCAAAGAAACTCTGTAGAAGAGAGCCAGATGAGGCATCTCAAACAAGATGGAAAAGGACAAACACAAGTCATAGGTGTAAAACATGCTTAGAATATGGGCACAATACAAGAACATGTAAGAAAAATAAACAACTTGAAGTTGTTGATGGTGAATTGCCATGAAACACCTACCTAAGGAAGCCAAACTGCAACTATGGAGACATGACCATAGAAGAGGGTTAGTAACACTTATTTGGAAACAAACTTTAATTTATAATTTCATTTAATATTTGCAATGAATTGTTTCAAATTTCCTTGGTTGCAGGGTAGGCCAAAAAGGACTACCGAAAAAGGAGGCACAAGTAAAAAACAAAGACTACTTCTCCAGCTACTGCACAACGTGAAGCTCTAACCCCTGCACAACCTGAAGCTCCAACCCCTGTATAACATGAATTGATTCCTTTTCAACCTAAAGTGTACCTTACTCAATCTAAGGAAAATCCTAAAACACAATCTTCTGTAAGCTCTGCTGAGGCAATGAAAATGTACTGTGGTATAGACCCTGATAAGTTGGCAACATTGTTGAATGATGAAGACATACTAGACATTGAACCACTTAGTGTTGATACTAGTCCTGCAAAACCAATTGACAATGACAAACAACCTATAAATGTTAACCTAAATAAGTCTGCTGTCAAAAATTTCTTTGGTCCAAGA